ATATCTTAAGAAGCACATCAACAAACTGGAAAAGGTGCAAAGACATGCTACTAAGTGGCTCCCAGAACTGAAGGGCAAGAGCTACGAGGAGAGGTTAGAAGCATTAAATATGCCAAAACTAGAAGACAGAAGAAAAAGAGGTGATATGATCACTACATACAAAATAGTTACAGGAATTGATAAAATCGACAGGGAAGATTTCCTGAGACCTGGAATTTCAAGAACAAGAGGTCATAGATTTAAACTAGCTAAACACAGATGCCGAAGAAATATAAGAAAATTCACCTTCGCAAATAGAGTGGTAGACGGTTGGAACAAGTTAAGTGAGAAGGTGGTGGAGGCCAAGACCGTCAGTAGTTTCAAAGCGTTATATGACAAAGAGTGCTGGGAAGACGGGACACCACGAGCGTAGCTCTCATCCTGTAACTACACTTAGGTAATTACCAGCAATCAACAGCCAATTAATGCACAACTATATTCTACCCACTTCAAGACTTTGCTCCAATATTGAAGCATCAGGAAATATGGGCCAATAGGCTCTTTGCAGTTACTTCCATCCTTACCTTCAATTTATCCAATGAATACCCATTGTTTCGTGTTCTGTCCTGTGTTGAAAGTTTTGTTCACCTCATCAAAACTGATTGTAACATATCACCTCACCCAAAATACGGGTATAAAATGAAAGCTGTTTAAATCATAGCGGAGTAAGAACTCTATTTAGTGTTTGCAGGTTATAGTTGTGTGTGTAAACTAAAAGTCTTTGAGAATGTAATAAGTTATTACGAAACGCGTTAAAGTGTCGCGTCAGACTAGAAATAAAAATGAATTTTGGAGAATTGATTTTTCAATTACCATCAACAGTGAAAAGAAACATAAGAAATATTAAGAAAATTTGTGTTAGAATTATTACTCTTACTTTTTCGGTCATATTTACTTATTTATTTATTTATTTATTTATTTATTTATTTATTTATTTATTTATATATATACAAGAAGGTACATTGGGTTTGTGAGAATACATTGGATAGTACAGTATTTACATTCTTGTAAAGCCACTAGTACGCACAGCGTTTCGGGCAGAGTTTTAATAATTTATGTCTATAGGAAAGACTGCTACCAAAATATACTAGTATGTGTATATGTACATATGTGTATGTGTATGTACATAAAATATATGAATATATGTGTATATGTGTAAGTATACTTTTTCTTTCGGAAGGGACTTTGTTCTCTTTGCTGTTGACAGGACTCTGGGGGAGCAGCTTGCTCTGTTGACTCTCACATGGTCCCGCAGTTAGTGGGCGCTTTTGGTTATCTTCCGGCCTCTGGTGGCGGCGGCGGACAGCTTCTTCCCCTTTGGGGGGGTTCAGGGCTGGCGGGGTGGGCTTCTTTCCCTGCGCTTCGTCATGTCATCTTAGTGGGTGCGTTGGACGTGGTCGATCCGCCCCATCCTTCTGGGGTTCCCGTCTGCTCATTGCAGACACGGATCTGGCGAATCTGCGGTTCTCCTGGACTACTTCAATCTGTGCCCTGGATTCTATGCCCTCATCGGAGGACTGTTGTTTCCTGTCCGGCTTCTGTTGGGGCCGGGTGCCTGGATAGTGGCCCTGGACCTCCAGGTCAATTCTTGGCACGTTCCTCTCCAGTTTTCCGGGATTGGCACTGTTGGTGGTGGGGCTTCAGGCTTGCTTCTTTTGTTGTCTTCCCTTGTTTGTAATTGGCACTTGGTGTATTTACGCATCTATACCGGATCTTGGTGCCCTGTCTGAGTCTGCTTGGAATTTGGTGTTTGGCCTACCTCGACGACTGGCTGGTGTGGGCTCCCAGTCGGTCCGCTTGTCTGCTCACCAGAGTGTAATTCTTTCCAGATCACCGGGTTTGGTTTCCTGGTGATCTGGAGGCCGTTCCATCTGTTTCCGTCCTGGGTTCGGACCTGGCTGGGTCTTGTTTAGGGCTCTTGGGCCGCTCCTTGTCTTTCCCTCCAGAAGTGTTGCTGCGGCTGTGGTCCCGCCTTCGGCTGTTCATGAGGGGGTCCCGGGTTGTTTGGCGGTTGCTCGAGCAGTTGTGCGGGAGTCTGAACTTTGACGTGCTGGTCTGCCCGCAGTGTCGGGTTTGGCTTCGGCGTCTGTTTGGTTTCATCGGAGACTCCCTTTCCACCTCTCTTGCAATCGTTAGGTTCATTCCTCCAGGGATCTTGTGTTGGTGCTGCGTCACCAGCTTCCTCTTTGGGGTTTTTGGGGTTCCGTGCCTTGGTACCTCCCCAAGCCTTCGCCAGATGTGTTCACGGACGAGTCATCTCTCGGCTGGGGCTTTGTGACCAGTGCTCACCAGGTTGGCTGGGGATGGTGGGGTCTGTCCGTCCGTTGGGCTAACAGTACGGTTTGGGAGTTCGTGGCTGCCTGATTTGTGCTTCGGAGGGTTCGGGTCACTTGGTTCTCTACCTTTCAGCTCCATTCGGACTGTTCTCTGGGGGTTCTTTGCCGGAACCACAGGGTTTCTCTTGGGTGTTTGACCTTAAGGGACCAACCCCAAGTGTCTCGTTTGCTGGATTCTCGGGGTTTGGCTAACCATGAGGTTCATGTCCAGGGGGGTCCTACGTCCTGGCAGATAGTCTGTCTCGGTTCATTCCTCTGTTCACGGATTGGGCAGTCGTTGCCGACTCGTTTCATTGGCTCTGCCAGATGTGTGGACTCCTGGCAATGGACGTCTTCGAGTCGGCGTGGTCTAGGCTTCGCCTATTCTATGTGGCGCCCTTACCTGCCTGCGAGGCATTCACGGGGTGGATGTGTTTCGGCAGGACTGGTCGAGGTGGGGGTACCTGTTCCTTTTCTCCCAGTCCAGCTGTTGCTTCGGGTTCTGGCTCAGTTGAAGCCCATTCCCAAGAGAGTAGTCCTTATGGTCCCTTGGTGGCCGGTCCAGCTTTATTTCCAGACGCTGCTTGATAGGTGTCCGAACCCGGGGCGTTTTCCCGCGGCTCCGCCTCTTTCAGCAGGTCGGACCGGTCCTGTACGTGACTGGTTCAGCTTTCTCCTCGACTCTTTGCGTCTGGTATTTTGACGCGGGTATCACCGTCTCTGTGGTGATCAGGTGGTTTGTTGATGGTGTCCCAGCTGCGAGCTTTGTCTCGGCGATAGTATGACGTTCCTAGTGTTTCAATTCACCTTTTCTTGCTCTTCATAGGTTGTCTTCTCTTTCACATCGGGTTGTCTTGCCCTTTCTTGGATTTTCTGGACTACAGTTATTTGATGTTTCTTACTGTTGCCTCGTTTTGTGCAGCGCTGGCAGAGCTGCTCCGGCTTGCGTTCGGGGTGGACACCACATCTGCTCTGTTCCGTACGCTTTCTCGTGTTTTTTTTCACCTCCGACCTGCTCATGCGTCGCCTGAGCCGTCCTGGTCCTTGATCAGGGTGCCCTCTTACCTTCTCAGTTTGTGGTAGCCCCTACGGTTTAGGCTTCTGCTCTTTGGTACTGGTGGCAGGTTTGTACGTTTGCAGCCTTTCTCCGTCCTTCTGGCGACAGCTGAGATGGCTGCTTTCTGGAGGGGTCCTTGGATTATTGATGCTTGATTGGTTCGGCCGGGGGTGCATCCTTTGTTGTCCGGTTGCGCTTTTTTGCAGTTACCTGCGTACCGTGTCTGGGGATGCGCTTTGGGTTGATCCGGTTCCCCTTGTTCATTATTTCAGGGCTCGGGTCTCCCAGGTCGTCCGCAGAGTTTTTAAGTCTTCCAGCCTATGGTCTGTCCTTGCGCCTGTGCTGTTCGGACGTTTGCAGCTTTCCCTGCTGTGTTGGTGACGTCTAGGGCTCATTTCGGGCGCAAGGATTTGAGGGTCGCACAGGTTCTTGGCTGCCCATTCCTTATGTGCGTGTCTGCTCCTGTGCATTCTTGTTGCCTTGGGTCGCAGGTTGCAGTCGGTTGTCTCGGCTTCGCTTTGCGGAGTTTGTGGCGACCGCAGCCCGGGTCAGCCCTTTCTTTTCCTTCTCTTTGGGTATGAAGCTCCAGGGAGCTGTAGGGGCTCCCCACAGAAAACCAGCGTTGAATGTAATGAAATGTCATTTTCTGGGTGAGCCCCGGAGGCTCCCTGGCAACCCTCCCTCCCACCGGTTGGCGGTTTTTTCGCGTTGGTTGAAGCTTAGCTTCTAAACTGATGCTAGGCAGCCAGCGCAGTGAAGTCCGGGACTCCCCCTCTCAGGGTGGGGAGGGCTGCGCGGACGATCGGCGCGGCAGTAAAGTGTGATGTTTGCTTGTTTGCTTGTTTGCTTGTTTCCTTGGGATTGTAGGGAGTTTCTACCTCTCTGTTCGTTTTTTTGCTTTAGATTTTTACCATGTGGGGTTTGTTTTGTTATGCCTACCTTTCTGGGTGCCTAACCCTGGTCGATGGCAGATAAGGAAAACCCCAACCACAAGGGGATTTTCCAGGGCCATTGCTCCCTGAAACCTCTCTGAAGGGGCCAGGTTCTGGCGCTCGTCCCTAGTAGGTCTGAACTCCTTAGCTAATGTCCTGGTCTAATATAACATACATTAGCCCAATAAGCTCGAGGGAGCCTCCGGGGCTTACCCAGAAAATGGTGTTTCATTACATTCAATGCTGTTTTCTTTTAAATAGGATGACGAGATGTATATGAGATGTATATAATTCATATAATATGGTGAGAAGTGTTGGAGAACTACTAGACCATTTGCCAAAGTGCATGGGAGCAAAGCTGAAAACCTTGATTGGTCTCCAGTTGTAAGTCGCAGGTATCCTAGAGGGTTCATTGGGATCCCAGGTTGCATTGCTTCCGACCATGTTGTGGAGATTCTAGGGTTCTCCCAAGCTAGGATTCATACTCCCAAGCTAGGGTTCTAGCTTGGGAGTATGTACCATGTGAGCATGTTCGAATCATCCTCACAGCTCCGACTAATTTTCTCATTAATACATTATATTAATGTGATTTCATTGTGAATAATAATAATAATAATTTTTGTAATAATCCTACTTGAAACTACATTTGTTTTTCAGCTATTATACCAAGAGAGTAACCCTGGGATCACCTATGAGTACAGCGTGCCAATGGAAGTGACACAAGCTGAAGCTGAAATATATGAATGGATCTTTGGAACATATGGGGAATGTTCTGTGGAATGTGGTGTTGGTGAGTACTGTTGATTTTGTATTTTTTTTCATAAAAAATTCTGGGCTTTTTATTTACTCCTGCATTGTATGATCAAGTCAACCCGTTCTCGCAAATTCGTAAAGTCAATATTGACTTATTAACTACGTGCATAGATGATATACTAAACATAATAGATACCCTTAAAAAGATTCATAGAAAACACCGACCTTACCTAACCTTGTTAGTATCTTAAGAAAAGCATCTTGTTGCTTCGTAATTACAATTATTACTTAACCTATACCTATTATAGGTTAGGTAATAATTGTGATTACGAAGCAATAAGATGCTTATCTTAACATACTAAGTAGGTTAGGTAAGGTCGGTGTTTTCTATGAAGCTTTTCAAGGGAAACTATTATGTTAAGTATGTCACCTATGCACATATTTAATAAGTCAATATTGACTTATTAAATTTGCGAGAACGGGTTGGATCAAGTACAGTACTAAAAAATTGGAGATGACACAGGTGGTTATAACAGTGGTGAGGGCGATGGCCTGGGAGGCTGCAGCACACCTGGTGCTCACCCTCTGCTAGATACGCTCATTGTATTGTCCTCATCCATACTGTATCACTTGTATTCGACACTTGTGTTAGGTCTTTATAGTGCCTTGCTTCATCAATATCACTACCCTTATCTTATTCAAACAATAGGGTCTGAATTTCACCATCAGAGAGTGATCTTTCGACACCGCTTGACAGGGGATTGGGAGTCAGAGGTGCATGCACCACCCATTGTTGCTCACTCAGAACTGAGGCAACCCGTGACCCTGGGGCATGTTGGGAATTTTTTTCTAGATGGCTGCCTCTCACTGGAGGTCTCAGGCATCCATCTCGTACCTAACCTTACTGCTCGTGCATTTTGAATCTTACGATATCCTAACATCGCTTACAAGTCAGGTGATGCACTGCCATACCCCATGTTTTGTTAGGTGGTCCAGTGCAGCAGTTAAGGATCAAGTTGGAGTTTAGTTGTGTTCTATAGAGAGCTGAACATTGCCTAAAGAAGCAACCTAGTGACTTGCTTGAAAAGGAGCTTTCTAGTTACACTTGGGCTTATTTATAATTTGAATGTTTTGCAATATGAATGTAAATTAAGTACAATACTTACCACATGATATTTTTTTAATAATGTACTATAGCATTAAAAATGTATTAGTAAATCCTGATGTTTTGTTATTTTAGGTCATATGACACGAAATGTGAGTTGTGCAAGAAATAGTGACTTCCAGCCTGTTGCTGAGTACCTATGTGATCCACGGCTTGAGCCAGAAGCAAACAAAACATGTAATGAACATCCATGCGAAGCAAAGTAAGTGTCTGGACACTGTACGTATTATAGAAAGTTCTACAAGGTGAAATGCCTGTAAGAAGTCTGTAAGAATTAAAAAGTCATGGCAAATTAGGTTTTAATATGTAAGGTCTGGAAATATTATAGGGGATTAATTTAACCTGTAAAGAATAGATGCAGCCTTCTTGTACACATGGATCAGACTCAGCAAGCTTAACAAAGTAATTGAACACAGAAAAGCAGGACAGTCAGAAGTGGCAACCTGAAAATACTGTGCTGTAGTATATAGTGACATGTGTGGAAGGTGCATGCAAAATAAGCTCTTTTCTGGGGGGAGCCCTGTTGGCTCCCTGGAGCTATCCAGGCTGAATGGATATGTATACCTTTCTGGCATCAATGTGCTTGGAGCTCTTGCCTACCAGGGACCATGAGCCAGAACCTGGCCCCCTCAGAGAGGCATCAGGAGCAATGACCTATTGAACCCCCCCCCCCCCTGTGGATGGGAACATTCTGTATCTACCATCGACTGGGATAGGCACCCAGAAAGGTAGGCGCCCCAAAACAAACCCCTATTCTGGTGAAAATATTGCTACTGAAAGCCGAACGAGTGGACAGAACTCCCCAAACAAAATTAGCAAACTAACATGACGTCATCACGTTGCCGTGCCGCCGTCTGCGCAACCCCCTCCTCCCCAGGAGGGGGAAGGGGGAACCCCAGACCCCCATGTCTACGATCCAACTGGCAGTTCTTGGCTGATGCGATGCTGGAGAAGTCGTGTGCCTCTGGATCCTGTTTTGTTTCAGTTCTGTGCCTTATGGTGTGGGCTGTCTCTACAGGTGGTGCGTGAGTAAGGAGTAATATTCCACGGTACTCGGGCTGCATGAACCTAGGGGTTCCCTTCCCTAGTACTTCCCTGTAAGTACTGCCCTTGGGGTTTGGAGCTTCCTTCCACAAGTCTCTCTTGGATCTACCTCCGCTGTGTCCTTTACTGCTCGGTACTTAGCCGCCCTTGGGGTCAGCTGGGGTTTTGTTGCCAGTGTTTGACTCTGGGTAGGAGGTAGTTTTCATCCCTGGTAGGGGCGCGGCATACTGCACAGCTAGTTATCACCTATTATAGCGGCTGTCTCTTCCGCCTAGGTACGTTGTCTTTTTGCAGGTTTTTTTCTTTTGTTTTTGTTTGTTCCTGCATGGTTGGGGTCTGCCTTGTCCTCCCCTTCTCTGTTGTTGGGGTTGGTGTGTCTTTCTTGTGTATTGGTGGTATTCCCTGCTAGGCCCCAGTGAGTGGACATGCCCTGGGGGTTCAGCTTTTAGAAGTTTGTTTGGTAGACTTGGGTGCCGGTTTGCAGAACCCTGCCTGGGCTTCCTATAGCATGTTAAAATGGCTAAAGGCTCTGGGAAATCCCGCAGAGGCTCCATTGTCAGGTGGATGTGACCCTTTTGAGTCCCCCTCTTGCTTCTTGTGAGTTTGAAGGTTGCTCAATTCACTTGTCTTGAGAGGACATTCACTAGTTGTGCCTCTGCCATGCTGCCTGTTAGTTCAGCGATTCTTTTGACCTGGAGTCATGCGACGTTGTTGTTTGTATGTGCTCCAGTTCACCCATGCTACTCAACATATGTGGGTGCAGGCAGCTGCTGAGTTGCATGCTCGGTTGGTTGGTTGCGGCCATGGATGCCCCGAAACTGCCACGTTTTGGTTATTAGGGTCCGGCCTTGGGGGGTGGAAGTTGCTTTGGCTCTGGTTCCGTCTGTCCCTCCTGGTCCTTCCCCTTCTGTTGTACATACTTTCCTTCCCCCTTGTTTCTGGCTCCGAACTGTCGGCGGGTTTCAGAGTTGGGGCAGGGTCTCGTTGAGACTTTGTTGAGGTCTCGGGCGGTCTCGGGGGTTTCCTCTTCCGGGGTTGCGGCGGAGGCATTCGAGCCTGTTCCTCTAGCTGTGTTGTATGGGTCTGACCAGTGGGCTCCCTTCCTTAGTGTTTTTACAGCTGCCTCGGCTTTTTCTTGTGAGGCCGGGGCTTTGGGGGAATAACTCGGCCCTGGATCCTGCTGTGGAGGTTCCTGGGGTTGAACACGGGGGGGGGGGGGCCTTGGCCCCCATTTGCCCCACTTGGGGTTTTGTTTCCTCGGAGTGGGGCTTGCAGTTCTTCAAGAGTGGGGTTTTCCTTTCCCCCCTCTGCGTCTGAGTTGGTTCGGGTCTGCCCCCTCCCCAGGTTCCGTTCCATGTCCCTTCGGGTCCATCATTCCGTCATTCCTGGAGGGGCTTTTCACCGCTTTCTTAACCTTTTTCTCTTGGACATATATCAGGATCCCTACATAACTCTTGGTCAAGGGTGCCATTGGGCCCGTCTGTGCCTCCGTGAATTTGTGCTTCTCACGATTCTCGAAGGTTCGCGAAACCCTTCGATACTTACAATATTATTGGAATGTCTGTTGACTTCTGGTGAGGCTTCCCTCCAGTCTTTTCTCGGTCTCGTTGTTTCTCTTCTGCACTTCTTGTCTTCTTTCGATTCTGTTTCCCATTATTTTGTATTCACATCATCTCTCCTTCCTGTCTCGACTTTCCTCATATTCGTTACATATGCCTTGGTGACTTCCTCCCCGTAAGACGGGTGGTGTGGTTTTACCCTCAGGTGTACACGTGTTGGTGTTCCGCAACCTTTATCGCCGATTATACACTGTTCTCGCTCATCTTCTCTCTCCAGTTATAGCCCCCTGGATACTAAGGGGTGTTCTGGATTTTATATGTGGGGTAATCACCTAGTTCTTCTCTGCTTATGGGTGTGGGGTAGCTCACTGTGGTGCCACCTCCCTCTGTACTGCACCTATTCTTCTCCTACTGGGCATGCTGCTCTGGACATATTCCACTAGCGATGCTCTTGGTATATTACACAGCTAGGCTGTTTCGTGACCCGGTTGTGTATCCGCTCTGCAAGTGTGATTGTACAGTCTGGCGACTCTGTCAGCCAGGAGCTGGTTCTCGATTTTTGGTGGGGTGTTAGGTGTTGTTGTTGTGTGTGTTGCTTGGCCACTTTGCGTGCGTCTTTCCGTGACCTTCCTTGTTCGTGTATCTTGTTCTTAGATACACTGTGGAGCACAGCCCCAAATTCGGTGCCTTTTGTTTAGTCTTTCGGCGTCTGGATCTTTTCTCAATATCTCGACACTCCTTTGTTTCCTCAGTCCATGCTGTCTGTACTCTCATTCCTTGCCTTGGTCTATGATCTCTGGACACTTCTTCCTTGCCTGTCTTTCAGTGCCTGGCTGCACCCTTATATATATGTACATTGGTTCTCTCTGTATATGTGGTTGGACATATACATTACGTTACCAGCTGCTACTTCAATCTTCTTCGTTCATCATTTTGTACTCTCTTGTACTCACCTAGTTGTGCTTGCGGGGGTTGAGCTCTGGCTCTTTGGTCCCGCCTCTCAACCGTCAATCAACAGGTAATTACCTAAGTGTAATTACCTAAGTGTAGTTACAGGATGAGAGCTACGCTCGTGGTGTCCCGTCTTCCCAGCACTCTTTGTCATATCTTTGTCACTCTTTGTCTTTGAAACTACTGACGGTCTTGGCCTCCACCACCTTCTCACTTAACTTGTTCCATCCGTCTACCACACAATTTACGAAGGTGAATTTTCTTATATTTCTTCGGCATCTGTGTTTAGCTAGTTTAAATCTATGACCTCTTGTTCTTGAAATTCCAGGTCTCAGGAAGTCTTCCCTGTCGATTTTATCAATTCCTGTAACTATTTTGTATGTAGTGATCATATCACCTCTTTTTCTTCTGTCTTCTAGTTTTGGCATATTTAATGCTTCTAACCTCTCCTCGTAGCTCTTGCCCTTCAGTTCTGGGAGCCACTTAGTAGCATGTCTTTGCACCTTTTCCAGTTTGTTGATGTGCTTCTTAAGATATGGGCACCACACAACAGCTGCATATTCTAGCTTTGGCCTAACAAAAGTCATGAACAATTTCTTTAGTATATCGCCATCCATGTATTTAAATGCAATTCTGAAGTTAGAAAGCATAGCATAGGCTCCTTGCACAATATTCTTTATGTGGTCCTCAGGTGATAGTTTTCTATCTAGAACCACTCCTAGATCTCTTTCTTTATCAGAATTCTTTAAAGATTTCTCACATAATATATAGGTTGTGTGGGGTCTATGTTCTCCTATTCCACATTCCATAACGTGACATTTATTAACATTAAATTCCATTTGCCAAGTGGTGCTCCATATACTTATTTTGTCCAGGTCTTCTTGAAGGGCATGACAGTCATCTAAATTTCTTATCCTTCCTATTATCTTAGCATCATCAGCAAACATGTTCATATAATTCTGTATACCAACTGGTAGATCATTTATGTACACAATAAACATCACTGGTGCAAGAACTGAACCCTGTGGTACTCCACTTGTGACATTTCTCCATTCTGATACATTGCCTCTGATTACTGCCCTCATTTTTCTATCAGTCAGAAAATTTTTCATCCATGATAGAAGCTTACCTGTCACCCCTCCAATATTTTCCAGTTTCCAGAACAACCTCTTATGTGGAACTCTGTCGAAAGCCTTTTTTAGGTCCAGATAGATGCAGTCAACCCAACCATCTCTTTCCTGTAATATCTCTGTGGCTCGATCATAGAAACTGAGTAAATTCGATACACAGGATCTTCCAGATCAAAAACCATACTGTCTGTCTGATATTATATCATTTCTCTCCAGGTGTTCTACCCATTTAGTTTTGATTAGTTTTTCCAATACTTTCACTATTACACTTGTCAATGATACAGGTTCCTGAGCCTATTGGGCTCTATCATATCTACACTTGAAACTGTGTATGGAGTCAGCCTCCACCACATTACTTCCTAATGCATTCCATTTGTCAACCACTCTGACACTAAAAAAGTTCTTTCTAATATCTCTGTGGCTCATTTGGGCACTCAGTTTCCACCTGTGTCCCCTAGTGCGTGTGCCCCTTGTGTTAAATAGCCTGTCTTTATCAACCCTGTCGATTCCCTTGAGAA